GAAAAACTGTCAATAAAACTGCAGGGACTAGTCTAGGCAGTCGCCAGGAGTCAACACTGACTCAAAGACACACACACGCATGCACACAATACAGGAGGCTCTCATAAGCTAGGACTCACATTAGCTAACCTCCTTTCTAGAAAGAAGAGACAAGGATTTTGGTCCCTTTGAAACAATAAAGTGGCACAAGCACGCCAAGATAAGCTTTTATACAATATTTTAGAGTCAAATAATTAGCCCATTAGAGAGCCAGTTTGGTGTAGTGCTTAAAGCACCAGGCTAGAAACTGGGAGACCACAAGTTCTAGTCCTGCCTTAGGCATGAACCCAGCTGGGTGACCTTGGGCCTCTCACTCTCTCTCAGCCCTAGGAAGCAGGCGATGGCAAACCATTTCTGAAATCTTGCCAAGAAAACTGCAGGGACTTATCCAGACAGTCACCAGGAATCAACAGTGATTCAAAGGCACCAAAAATAATAAAAATAATCATAATTATCCCACTAGCTCAGAACTGTCTATTCTCAGTAAAAGCTCTCTGGAATCTTAGAGAGAGACCTTTCAGTACTGGAAATGCAAGGGACTGAACAGAGGAAAGTTTACATGCAAAGTATATGTTGAACCACTGACTTACAGCCTTTCCGCTTAATATCAAAGGTCCAAAAGAAGAACCTCACCTACAAGCTCTCTAAAGGAACCTTTAGGTGGAGGTCATGAAGAAATCTGAGCAAGCAATGCCAGAGTAAGGGCATTCTTTTTCTCTTTATCCACATAAACTTCTTCCCCAATCAATTATACATGCCATTCACAACACAACATTTCCAGAGATTAAAAAATACCAAACATCCTATATATCTTGGAACCCCAAAGCAACGTTTGCCCCTCACCTTGACATTGGTCATATACTTTGAGAAGCGTTCATATTCTTTACTGATCTGGAATGCCAGCTCTCGGGTATGACACATCACTAGCACTGAGACCTAGCAGAATTAAAAGAAATACCGGTAAAAAGACATCAAGAAGAGCTCTCTACTTGTTTGGATGGGGAGGAACCATCTCCAACAAAATCCTACCAAGTAGCTGTGGGTGTTTGAACCACCCAGATCTGAAGCTACACTATCATTGATCTTGGATGGGGTTGTACTTCCCCCTTCAAGGTTGGTATGCAATGTGGAGTCTTCCTGGACTTACAGGTCCTGCTTGAAGAGCAGGTGTCAGCTGTAGCTAGGAAGGCCTTTGCACAATTCCATCTGGTGAGACAGTTGTCCCCTTTTTTGATCAAGGGACCCTTCAGACAGGGTCATGCCTTAGTCACTTCATGGCTTGACTGATGCAATGCTCTCTATATGGGGCTGCCCTTGAAAACCACCCGGAAGTTTCAACTGGTCCAGAATGTTGCAGGGTGAGCAATACTGCATGCCCAAGGCATGCCCATGTAACACCTCTGCCTCACAAGCTGCAATGGTTGTCAATTTGTCTCCATATGCGATTCAAGGCACTGGTTGTTACCTAAAAATCCCTACATGGCATAGGGCTTGGTTAATTGAGGGACTTCCTGTCTCCAATAACATCTACCTGGCTGATTCGATCCTGTAGGGTAAACAATGTCCTCTCTCAGGACCTGAAGCATACCTTCTCTGTAGCATTGCCTGCCCTCTGGAATGAGGTTCCCCCCTAGATTTGGATAGCCCTCACTCTGCTGTTGTTTAGAAGACCCATGAAGAGGCCTTTACCTTCACCCAGGCCTTTACCAAGGAAGAGTGAGACCCCTCACTTCATTGCGCTTGCCAACTTTTTTCCTTTATTTTTATGTTTTATTGTAATTTCTTTGTTTGACTATTGTGAGCCACCCAGAGTCACTGAGAGTCAGGTGGCATACAACTTTAATAAATAATTATTGTTGGCCACACAGTCAGCCAGATGTTTAGACTGGATCTGGCATTTTTATCCACCTATCGAGTCCTTCCCAAGGACCTGGGATAGGTGGTGGTGGTATTATTATTATTAGAATCAATAGTCTCTGTTTGACTATGAAACATCTTGCAACCGCAGACATATGGCCAAAGGCAACAGATGAAGCAAGGCATATGCAGGTCTAACTATGATTAAAGCCTTACCCCCTTTAAACATGCAAGGAATGCATGTTAAGAGGTGAACCTTCAAGAGCCCCCTCCCCTCTGGACACCCCTGAGATGAGGCTACTAAAACACCTCAACTGGAATCGGACTCTTTATGAATTGGCATTAGGAAGAAACAAAACATGGAAGTTAATTCAACTGCTTGTTGAGAAACTAAAAACAGCATCACCATTAATTTCTGTCCTTTTTGGTACCCGTGCCCAGAATCATTACTAAAGATATCCCTCATGGTAGTAAATGAATCACACTTACAAGACTCCTACCACAATCTTATGGTATTTAGCTTTCTGTTAACATACTTTCCCCCAACATCTTTTACATACCTGTCCATCCAGCGGCTCAATCTGCTGCAAAGTAGCCAATACAAAAACAGCTGTCTTGCCCATGCCCGATTTGGCTTGACATAGTACATCCATACCCAGGATTGCCTGAGGAATGCATTCATGCTGCACTGATAGAGCAAGAAGAAAAGATAATTATCCAGAGCCACTGGGCCAATGGAAGTTCTTAGAATGTGCAAAACTCCAGGTGGCTTTGATCCCAGCTTCCTTTCTTTCAAATAGATATTCCATATTATATCTTTGGAGATTAAATTTCCTATATACATATTCTATAAGAGAATAATACTGCTTTCAAACCACTGGCATTTAATTCATATATCACTTTGAATTACAAGACAAACCTAGCAGGCCATAAAGAACTTTAATGTGGATAACTATTCCACAGCAGGATTTTACTGGCGCACCTTCAATTCCCTAACCTCTTCCCTTAAAGGGAGCCCTGGTGCTAACAGGACTTCAGTTAGTTGGCTAGCTGAAAAATGAGGTCTCTCACGCCAAACTGAACTCTTAGATCTTGCATCAAAGGAGATAGTTTTGTGAAAACTTATTTAATCTCTTTCAGAATTCCTGAAGTAGGTGATTACATTTTTCACACTTGGGCATCCCATATTGAATGACATGTTTAAAGAAGTAAATGAAACAAGCACCAGACTTGTTTGTTCACTTATACTCTCTTTATATATCAGTAGGTCCCACAGTGAAGTTCTGATAATATTCTGAGAAGTGCAAAATTTTATAAAATTGAAAAGCAATACTTTCTCACAGAACTGTAATAATCTCCAATGTGAAAGTTTATCTGTAGAACTCCCCAAAGCATCATCATCATAATGACTATACTAGACTCAACACTGATAACAATGAAAACCCTACCATCCCACCCCTGCTCCCTGCAGCCCCCAGCTCTCACCCTGCACCGCGTGGCACCACTGGCAGTTGCTTCCCGGTGGGTGGGCTGGGCTGACTGACGAGGGGGCCAAGGGCCTTGGCTCAGCTCCTACCTTCTGATGGATGTTCAAAGCCGCAATCCACAATGGCACGAAGTAACTCTGGCTTCAGCAGGAAATCTCGGAAGCCAGAGCTGTGAATGGAGACATAAGAACCCTTCACATCCTTTTTAGCAAGGACAGGGGTTGCATCTGTCACTGCCTGAGGCTCTTCATCATCTTCATAGTCCAGCAACTCATTCTCTACATCCTGCTCAGCCATATCCTGCTCAGCCATGTCCTGCAGGTAAAGCAAAAATCACAGGATGTCTGCAATGCATTGGTGGATGAAAGCTAAATCCAGGACGAGAGAGACCTGAAAATTAAAAGGGAACTGCTGCTATACTTGGAGGCAGTAATTAATAGACTTCAGGTTGAAGCTGTTGACACCCATCAATTCTAAGCAATAAGTCCTACTGATAGAGGTCGATTGACTTTCCAACATCCCAAAGTTGTGATTTTTCAAACATCTTGTGAGCCAAAGATCAGCATCGCCCATTATGTTTCCATCCTCCACTATTATTTTTCAAGTCAGATGCCATTTTTTAAAAACATTCATGTGATATTGTAGATCTTTTTCATGTACATGCTACCAAAACCCCTTTACCATATATTTGTTATAGTAAACATGTCCTTTCCTCCTTAATGCAGGCTTTTCATATCATAGAAGTTGTTGTAAACATAATCCATAACAGAGAGCAGGGAACCGACATTCTGACAAAGTGATCTGGTCTTCTCACCAGGCCACAGAACCTATTAAAAAAATTAAATCTACCTTTCAATCGAGCTTTCAAAGATCTATGATAAAATTATAGTGCTTAAGTTACATATCTCATCCCTGTTGTGTTCTCTCTCTCTCTCATATATGAATGACAGGTAGGCATCAATCTATTTCCATATACTTCTACCCATCTCTTTTCATGGATTTTCAAAGAATGCTACGCAGAATTGCATCTTTTAGAACAGTCTACATTTAAATCAAGGATAAAAATATTGTCCTCTTTTATTTACTTATTCATTAACCTTAGGAACACTCATTTTCAGTGTCAATTTTTTAAATTAATATTTCATCTATCATGGAATAAAAAGATTAGTTAAGACATGGATTAGCCCTAATGAGTCTTCCATTAATCCTACAGAGAAAGGACTCTGTAATTTGCTCATCATTCAAGAGGGCTTCTGCTTAAAGTCCCCATCATGAAATACAAATGTAGACTGACAGCCAGTCTTAATGGCTGCTCCCTAGTTTTAACCCACTCTTTCATATGGAGCCGAGTAAACCTATTCAAGTATCACCTTAACAGCATATTTTCATAGGCTTTATTTAGAGCTATGTATCTAGCAATACAGAGCCAGTTTGGTGTAGTGATTAAAGGCACCAGGTTAGAAACCAGGAGATTGTGTATTCTAGTTCTGCCTTGGACATGAAGCCAGCTGGGTGACTTTGGGCCAGATTCTCCGTCAACCCTAAGAGGAAGGCAATGGCAAACCACTTCTAAAAATGTTGCCAAGAAAACTGCATGGACTTGTTCATCTAGTGAACAGGAGTCAACACTGACTCAGAGGTGTGCACGCATGCACGCACACACACAAACTGAACTAGACAGGATTAAATAAAATTGCTTTTAAAAATGGTTCATAATATGGTAATGTATCCTATGTTGGAAGTATCATAAAGGAAGTTTTGTTTTAGCATATTTTAATTAATTAATTAATTTTTATCTATTTTGATTAATGTTTATTCTGTTTTTACTGTAAACCGCCCAGAGTCACCCCACAGTGAGATGGGCAGTGACAAATCTGAAATATAAATAAATAAATAAGTAAGTAAGTTACAATTCCTGCCTTCTGGAATGAGGATCTCCTAGAGATTCATGTGGCTCCCACCCTTATGTCATTTAGGAAACTGCCAAACATCTTGTTCTCCCAGGCCTGTGGAACAGGGTGACTATGGAGTCCCTTTTTCGTTTCATGGTTTGATTTGTTTTGGTATTTTGCTCTTCCAGTCAGTTGTATTTTCTGTATGTTGGTTTTTTAGTTGTAAGCCACCATTTGGGAGTTAGGCAGCCTATAAATAAAATAAATAAACAATGAAAGATACTTCTGACTTCCCTAACCCAAAGGCCTCCTGATATATTGGACACCAGCCCCGCATCTCACTGTTGGTATAGTGGGACTTGGCATTGAGAAGGCAAACCCAGAGGTCCTACAGCATAAGTTGACTGCATTATATAAAAAAGACTTTTTTTTTTTGAGGCAAAGAAGTGTAGCGGTTGAGATGGTGAATGAGAATTGAACCCAGGTCCAAATCCATCACCAGCAGCTTTTATGGGTGATTCTAGGCCAATCACTTATCTCTCAGGATTATTATTGTGAGAAACAACTGAATGCTATGTCCTCCCCTTGAGAATGAAAGGTGGGATGAAAATATAATGAATAAAATTTAGTATTCATAAAGCAGACAGAAAAATGAAGAAAATTAGCAAAGATAAAATAACATCTCCAGAACTACTTAAAAGCAAAGACTTCAACCAACCCAGAAGTTACGTTTCGCCTATGGCAAGATTTCAGACATTATTTTAACACCCTATTTTTAATTCACCTGTATTATTACGTTTCAGACTGATAGGTATTAGGATACCTCATCGGAGGGACCTGTGGAAGTGGGCTGCTGAGAGAGGAAGAAAGCGCAGGCTTCGCTCCCACAAGAGGGACTGAACGGCGGCGGAGGCAGCGGGCCAAGCGCCGAAGGGAACCGTCGCCACGAGCCCACGTGGCTGCGGGACTCCCACGCGACGCGACGCGGGGCCACCGACCTCCGAAATCGGCGGCGGCTTAAGGCTTGCGGCCTCCCAACGCGCAGGTCGCCTTCCCCGCCGCTTTACTTGGGAGGTGGACAGCCAGGTCGAGCCTTTCCTTAACCATCCCTTTACCTTGGGAGGTAAAATGCCGGGATGCATACAACTCCCAGTTTTTTCACGCATCCCAGCAGTCCGGCGGGGCAAAGCAGTCGTTTGAACGGCCCAGCGACTGAGCCCTGCACACCAGGAGCCTTCTTTCCCTTGAGCGCAGCCGAGGCGATGAGCACTAAGCCGGCGCCTCTCCGCTACCGGCCACTGAAACCGCGGCCGAAAGCCAAGGAGCCACACGCCGGGCTCTGTCCTGCCCGTAGGGGCTTCCACGCCGCTTCCCCCCCTCGCTCTTCCCCCGCGGCGCCGCTCACCTGCCCTCGTCCAACTCGAGCTCCTGCTTCGACCGCTGAATGCTCGCCCCACGCCAATTGGGACAGAGAAGAAGTTCGTCCCATTGTCATTGGCCATCGCCAAGCAAAGTCCCGCCTCCCCACGGAAGCGGGGAAGGAAAGCGTCGGCCTCTAGGCCCGCCAATCCAAGCCACTTGCTTAATGATTGGCTGGAAGAATACGCGCCGACCTCCTTCCTGCCTTTCAAGTCCCGTGGCTACAGAGAAAGGAAAATGGCTGCCGGGAGCTGGAAGGGGAAGTCGGGGCAGCTGAGGTTTCTCTAGTTTAGAGGGTGTATGGTGGTGAAATGGAGGGAGGAGCTAATCGCCATTTTGGGTGCGGGCAGGTGTGTTCGTGAGTACTTTTATGCTTAGAATTAAGAACTGTTTTTTCTTCTCTCTACAGACCTTTTATTAGATAGGAATAATAATTACTAACGTAACCGTGTACGGGACCCGAGTTGTTTCGAGGAAGAAGGGATTTCAAAAGGCAGGCAATGACAAGGAACGGAATGCGCTAGAATGGCTTTCTGTTAACTGGGGTTGATGCCAGGAAGAGTGAGCTGGGTTAGAGACAAATGAAAACACGGGGTTGTAATTCTTAATTCTTAAATAAGGTGGAAGCTTTTCAGGATTACAACCCCTTAACCCCCCCGCCGCCCCAAGCCATTCAGAACAATGCAGAACTGCCTGGAGCATCTATTTCCCGGCCAGCAAAACTCTCAAGTTCTGCGCAGGACTGGAATATTGGGTCGCCCGCAGATTGCAGACGTCCGCAGGAGCTGTATTTCTGTATCTGTTCCAGGCCAATATTCTTAAAACAGCCCCAGATGCTGTCAGCCAAATGAATTCAATACATCTCATTTCTGTGATCCTAAAAGGCTTTGAGGCAGGAAGAGCCACAACCTTGATTGACAGGCAAAACAGGCATATTTCAAATATAGTCCAGATGGCCACATCCCGGTCAGAACCAAACTTGCCAGATTCATCAGCCGTAGATACAGCTAGATGCAGGAAGACAATATAGGTTACATCTGCTATATTATTCTAGATTAAAATGCATGAGTTTTTTGAAAAGAACGCCCACTTCTCAACTGGCAAGTTGACACAAACCTAGACGGAACCGATGCTATGAGATCCAGTCCTCTAGCTGTTCCCACTGAAATATGACAATGGGTAGCATCATTTTTGAAATCAAAATGACTTCTCAAAGAGCCAGATCACCCCAACTCACTAGTCATGCTACAGTAGTGTACCTTGCTTCAGTAAGACCCCAAATGCCCTTGGGTGCCTTGTTCTGCTCTTTCTTCCAAGTGTGGAAAACTGATGTGCGGTCTTTTGAATGGACCAAAATGTGTTGCAGTTGGATGTTTTGGATCTTACTACATCAAGGCTCTCTATTCTTCCATAACTGAGATGTTTGCAGAGTTCGGCTAGTTGAGTTGACCCCTTGAAGCATTTTTTAAAAATATATGCAGTTTTTCCCAGAATGGCAGTAGAATATGGATCTCTGGAACTTCTGTATTTTATTCCATCAAGATCCTTTAGTTTTGTGCAACCATTGAACATGGTCTGCTTGACTGATTAGAAAATCATGGATGGTGTCTTTTGAGGAATTATTGTGGTCAACAATCTGCAATTTGTGTCCTTGTGTATTCACATTTAGAAATCTATCTTAGGGTCAATTTATATGATTCTGAAAATGTGCTGGAATATGCTGCACTAATTCAGGGGTTCTTAACCTTTTTTGGGCCATGAACCACTTTTAGAGTCTGGTGAAACCTATGAACCCCAATTATGTCCAAATACATTTATCAAAGTATTATATATTAAATTAAATATATTAAAAATATATGTAATACAGTAATACATGTGAAAATAAAGTTAAAAATTTTCCCATCTAAATTCACAGACCTCCTGAAATCTATCCACAGACACCCCCCCCCAAGGGGTTTTTGGGCCCATATTAAGAACCCCGTACTACTTGATGTGAGATATGTATCCTATATGGGAGGGAATGTGAGAGCACATAACTGCCATTTAAAACTCTGGAAAGTTTTCAGCATTCCATGATTTTAAAATGCTAGAAAGAACTTGGGCAAATAGTGGTTATAACACTTGACATTTTACCATGTCTAGGTACTTGTAATAGCAATCAGTATTTCAATAAAACTTCAGAGTTGCATGAATTTACCTTTAGAGTTACTAATAGAAAAATGAAAACATGCTCCTTGCTTTTATTGGTCCTGGTTTTATAATTTTTAACAGCTCAGGAATATGACACCCTCCAGTATTTCAGGAGCTTATTGCTTATTTGAAGAGTATAAAAACACGTAGAAAATATTTGTTCAGTGTAACAAATGAAAGCTTTCAGCTTCAAAAGCTTCAAAAACTCTTCTAGCAGTCTAGTCCTGATGCTTCAAAAAGAAAAGCTATAGAAAAACTAACATAACCTTGTCTCTTACTGATGCATATTTTGTGAGCAGAACAATTCCCCCAGGCAGTGAATAATTCTGCCAGTTTTAATATATGCATCTCTTTTCAAATCAATATTCAGGTGTGGAGAAGCTGGAAACAACTTTTGGCTCTTGACCTCCTCTCCCATTTCTTAATCATTGCATGATAAACATGAGGATAAATACAAGGTATGTCAAGACAGAAGATTTAATAGAATTAGGGATTTAATTGTAGATCTGAATATATTTTGCAAAAGCACTGCAAAGAAGCAACAACCTGGTTTCAGATGAGTAAAATTCAGTCATTCTTTCATAAAACATACAAATCATATCAGTAAGGGCTATTAACAATATTTATAGAATGGTATATAAGTACATTTAATAATAAGTAACTCTCAAAAATGTTATATAAAAATCTCACAATGCTCTTGAGAGTCTAAAAAAATGCAGGATAATTTGAGCACTGAACCTAATGAATCTCATCAGACTTCCTTGTGGCAAGCAAATTCCTTTTACAATAAATTATTTCAGCTAGCCCTCAAGAATTTACCATAAAAATAATCTGTAGGTGACATTATGCCTCACTAAAATTGCACTATTATCCCAGTTAGTCCGTGCTTTTGGTTGAAAGTTTTTGAAGAAATTAAAAAAAAAATCATTCAACATCTTCTATACTAAAATCTGAAGTTGGTTTACTATCTATATTTTATAATGCATGTAAAACAATCCATAATAAGAAATTGATTCAATTTTTCTTATTAGCTGCTATGTTTTTACTGTAAAATGTAGAAAAACTAAAATCTTTTATTGGAATAGTAATATTCAAAACCATGGGACATTGTTTTTGCTGAAAAATTAACACAATGAAACACTTTGGAAAATTATAGTGGACAAATTCAAGTAATTTGGTCATTATTTATTACCTATATTTACATTTTCCTAATACATTAGTTTTATCAATACAAATGTCATTTTGGACAGATGTATTGAATAGGGATGTTTAAAATGTTTGTATTTTTCTTAACGATTGTTTGGAGTTTTTAAAGTTTGTATTGTTTTTATTCTGAGTTGCAAAATAAAAAATGCACCTCTTCTTATATGTGTTTACCACAATTATTTACTTTCATTTCTGTTATTTACATTTGTGTACATTTTGTTGCATAGTTTAACAAAACAAAAACATCAGAATGTTTGAGTACGTCTTGTTCCATAGATGTACAAAAACAACACACCAGTATGGCTGACCTTTGAAACAAATATCTAGGCCACTAGATGGCAGAGCTTCTTTTTTTATTTCTGTTTTGCTTTATAAATACATGCCCTTCTGACTCAGCATTCTTGCTTAACTTTTTTGTTCTTCACTGGATGGTCAGTGTTTTAATAGCAGCAGTTATTTCATGCATAACAGGAGGACACTAGCTATCCCTATTACATATCCTGCAAAAAAATACACTATATATGCAGGACCTGTTATTTCTCATATGAAGGTTGGTTTTGTTGTAGTAATTTCAGGCTGCATTTATGAGTTCCAAGTTTCTTATGTATAATTCTAAAATTCTCCCAAATGAATTGCAGCCATTATTATTGCAAATAGAGAAAAAGAGGATTATATCCAGCCCGGTTTTGCAAATTTGGCTAGTGCATTTCCAAACACAACGCTTGGTGTTAGCATCAACTTTTTAAAAAATTGTTAAACATTCTTTTTATTTCCTTATATTGTTTCATGTTTTTTTCTAAACTAAATTATTGTAGTTTACCATTTGGTCTGAAACAATCAGATTTTTTAAAAGTGAAATGTAGAATATAATGTTTCACAAGATGGGTGGTGACAAATTTGATGAATAAATAAATAAAATTTTAGAATAATTATCTGAGTGAACCTATGGAAACACAGAGCTTGTCACAGTTTCAAATAGTCAAGACCCTATTCATGATCCCATTAATACAAGAAGTAAAGTCACACTAGGATAGGAAAGCTTATCATGACCTGTTGGATGTTTTGTCTGGCATTAGAAGGCCTAATTTCTGTAGTGCCAACGTTGTTGCTTGATTTGTTTTGTAAATGTAATAGCTTGTGTTATGTTTAGTTTTTAAGTGAGACTTTAAACTTTTATGTTTAGAAGTTTTAATTTTGTTGTTTATCTGTTACCATAGACATTGGAAAAATGAGTCAATAAATGAATAAACAATTAGAACTGAAGCTGAAGTAACTTTCCACTGCCTGGTCTCCCAGATATGTTGTGTATCAGTTCTTAAGATCTCTGGTCCTAAATAGTATGAAGGGAATGCCTCAAAATATACTGGAACTAATATGTGTTGCTATATTCAAAAAGCTGTTATAATTGTTAAAGAAACTAACATTCTCTTGATCTCTCATAGACAGTTTCAGAGATATATGTAATGAAATTAAAGTAGGATGTGAGATAAAAATAATGCTTTTTTCCCACATCAAAACAAAGTTGCCAAAACCTTAAATTTTCATACCTGTAATACAAAACACCTGCAACTCTTTTGACTGTGGTGTGAATACATTGGTGCCTGGAATGCAGTGTTTATGATGCTATGCAGCAAGAATATACATAAAGTATACTTTATGGTATACATGAAGGTGGCGTACATTTTATTGCACCTGTTCTCCTGGGCCCACCCAACAGGATGACTCTCGATTAAGAAGACCAGAACTCTGAGCATTTAGCATCTGCACCAAGAGGTCTGTAGCTAAAGTGTGGGAAGGTTCCTCAAATCCAATTGTCAAGAGCTGCTGGTAATCCCCTGTCGGCTGGTGACACAACACCCTGTATGAAGAAAAAGGATGAAGTCAGAGGTGAACATTACAGCATCCATCCATCCTATCCTAAGCGCCCTGGAGTTCACGTTCCCTTATTTTAATAGTCAGACATTCTTATGGCATGAGTACAGAATGCTCTAGAAAGTACATGGCAGGTATACTTGCATAAATGTATTACCTGGCAATAAGCCATGTTGCATATTTGTCTTCTACAAAAGGTATGTATTCTCAGATGAGAATCTGTTTACATTGCATTTTCAAGCACATATTTGTTCTGTCCTATTTCCTCATTTTTTCCAAATGCAAGACATTTTGGATGAGTAATGTGCCTATTTTTGTATATATTCTTGAAAAACTGCATCTCAAAATTCAAATAAATGTGAAACGCAAGATTCAGAGGGTAAATGAACTGCAATGCCTGTGTGAATTTCTTCCCATTCACTACCTTCAGATGGATGGCTGCTCTTGACAGCTACACTAACACAATATGCCCCTGGGTTTGTTTTTTTTTGAAGTAAGGGGGATAACAAAGGAAAAGGGAGATAGAAAGCATAGGAGGTTTACACTTGGAAAACTACCATCCTTTTGGAGGAGTCAGAACATCTATGCAATAAAAGTGTCATCTGGAAGGATCAGGTATCTATTATAAAACTCTCTTTTCCCAGAGGTATGTATATATTCAATGTTTAAAGATTACATTTTGCTTTTGAATTTTCAAAACTGCTTCTTTGTATATTGTGCAGTCACCAGTCACAATATTGAATTCAGTCATAATATTGAATCAAGCAGATGGCATCAGCTACACTTGTTTTTACCAAAATAAAATGAGTGGGAAGTTACAGCACACTCCTTCAGTGAGAGAGAATCAGTTTTGTCCCACGCATTTCAACTATACCCCACATTATATAAACAGGAAATAGTTTTAGATAAAATTGCAAGAGTGTTGTGATGTGCAATACTCTAAATTTCTAGCATAGAATTCTTATTCATAATTTTCTCTTAGAAAGTTTGTTGATGCCAAAGACAATGCAAGCTGTTTCAAGTATCATTTTAATGATATATATAGGTCTCTGCTCCTTTAACAAAATTGAAAGCAATAATATACATAAGGTTAAAATACTGTTTCTGAGCATAATCTTGGTAGGAACATAGCTACCAAGGACAAGTAGTAGTGATGGAGAGATGAAGGTGGGCCTGAGTGATATATCAAGAGAATATCTATTTCATTAATACACATGTAGTACCAATTTAGGCATCCAGCTGATCTCTCTTTCCATTCTGCCGTTACATGCAAAAGTACCTACGTATGCATTGTCTTAATTTTGTGATGTGATAGATAACTGGTACAGAATAGAGTCCTACAATAGTGGACCAATGCAATTATCAAATTATTTTATGCGGACAGTCACTGTTACCTGAAGCACCAGCATAGGCCAGTCTATGCTGCTTTCAAACATGGTTCACAAATGCACATAAGTGACTAATACAAAGTTATTATGTATTCTTATCAAGTTTCCCCATTAAGAAACCTACTGCAGATTGGAGATAATGTATCTGAACATCCAAGGAAAGTTCTATATGAATTAAAAATATTTGTATGATGATAGAGGATTAGTGGTGTAGCATCCCAGGTTCTTTACAGAATGCAAAACTTTTGTTTTCCATCAATGGCTAGGACCTCAATTATTTCAATGCAAATTTATAGCAATCTATGGACTGTAGTTCCATAGAAGAGCTCATTGTTTGTATACAGAATGCCTTGAGTTGAATCCCAGTTAAGTAAGGTTGGTAGGAAGGATCGCTTCCTATTACAATGGTGAAGCATTGTTAGTCAACAGAAAACAATGTTAGTTTAAAGGGACAAAATAATTCAACCTAGCATAGATACAATACACATACACACATACAACCAAAAGTATGGATCTGTTATCTAGATGGCACCTTCATCATAATAAAGGAACAACTAAAGACACATGAGACAATTAACAACATCTTCAAATGAATAAAATTCACAAGGGAAGAAGAAAATAACAACACACTACCCTTCCTGGATATCCTCATCAGCAAAGGAAATAATGGCAAATTAGAAACCTAAGTCTATTGAAAAACTACTCACACTAACCAACTACTCCACTACCAAAGCAAAAACCCAAATTCCCACAAGAGAAGCTGTGTAAGAACATTATTCAG